CAGCATTTTGATTGTAGTTGGAATGTTATTGTGGTTCATTTCAATAAATAATTTCAGCTAAGTGACTCTCCGAAAAGGTTGATCAGTTGATAAACGTAGTCGCAGATTCGCATCCGGTGTTTTGTCGAGCATGCCCTAACTCGACAGCAACACCTGGCACAATACTATTTTTATTCAATGAAGCTTTTGGAATCAAGAGCTCAAGGTGTATAGGTGAAACAAATGTGAAAATTAATGAAACATCTAACTGCCTCTGTCATAAATGAACACATTATTATTTCAGTTAAAAATATCATCATAAATATAAAATGATAATTTCAGATTGCTCAAATTATCCTGACGTTAAGAACGCATATTTCAACGAGGACGACAATTGTGTTGATATTTCTATTACGTGTAATGAAAAGTATACCATGAAACAAATGATAAAATGTGAAGATGGAGAGTGGAAATATCAAGAACCATATTGTGAACCTCAAGGTATGACAGGTATATTTTCTTTGTGAATATCAAACAAGAGAAAATATTTTAACAATCAATGTCATAACTGAATGAAATTTTTGCATCATGATTAGAGCGAAAAAAAAACCAAAATCCTTAAAGAGAAAGAGACAAAATATTGTTGTACAACATTAACCACAATGTCCTAAGCCTTATTATTTGGAAAACCTTACTACATTATAATTAAATTATAATTCCGATGAAGGTGTGAGAATCATATTGAAACGTTGAAAGTAATAAATTTTCTAGAAGTATTATTATATTCCTGAGTGTGAGAACCACATTGAAACATTGAAAGTAATAAATATTCTAGAAGTATTATTATATTCCTGATGATGGTGTGAGAATCATATTGAAACATTGAAAGTAATAAATATTCTAGAAGTATTATTATATTCCTGATGATGGTGTGAGAATCATATTGAAACATTGAAAGTAATAAATATTCTAGAAGTATTATTATATTCCTGATGATGGTGTGAGAACCATATTGAAACATTGAAAGTAATAAATATTCTAGAAGTATTATTATATTTCTGATGACAGTGTAAGAATCACATTGAAACATTGAAAGTAATAAATATTCTAGAAGTGTTATTATATTCCTGATGATGGTGTGAGAACCACATTGAAACATTGAAAGTAATAAATATTCTAGAAGTATTATTATATTCCTGATGATGGTGTGAGAACCATATTGAAATGTTGAATGTAATAAATATTCTAGAAGTGTTATTATATTCCTGATGATGGTGTGAGAACCACATTGAAACATTGAAAGTAATAAATATTCTAGAAGTATTATTATATTCTTGATGATGGTGTGAGAACCATATTGAAATGTTGAAGTAATAAATATTCTAGAAGTATCATTATATTCCTGATGACGGTGTAAGAACCATATTGAAACATTGAAAGTAATAAATATTCTAGAAGTATTATTATATTCCTGATGAAGGTGTGAGAACCACATTGAAACATTGAAAGTAATAAATATTCTAGAAGTATTATTATATTCCTGATGATGGTGTGAGAATCATATTGAAATGTTGAATGTAATAAATATTCTAGAAGTATTATTATATTTCTGATGACAGTGTAAGAATCATATTGAAACATTGAAAGTAATAAATATTCTAGAAGTATTATTATATTCCTGATGATGGTGTGAGAACCATATTGAAATGTTGAATGTAATAAATATTCTAGAAGTATCATTATATTCCTGATGACAGTGTGAGAACCATATTGAAATGTTGAATGTAATAAATATTCTAGAAGTATCATTATATTCCTGATGACGGTGTGAGAACCACATTGAAACATTGAAAGTAATAAATATTCTAGAAGTATTATTATATTCCTGATGACAGTGTGAGAACCATATTGAAATGTTGAATGTAATAAATATTCTAGAAGTATCATTATATTCCTGATGACAGTGTGAGAACCATATTGAAATGTTGAATGTAATAAATATTCTAGAAGTATCATTATATTCCTGATGACGGTGTGAGAACCACATTGAAACATTGAAAGTAATAAATATTCTAGAAGTATTATTATATTCCTGATGATGGTGTGAGAACCATATTGAAATGTTGAATGTAATAAATATTCTAGAAGTATTATTATATTCCTGATGACAGTGTGAGAACCATATTGAAACGTTGAAAGTAATAAATATTCTAGAAGTATCATTATATTCCTGATGATGGTGTGAGAACCATATTGAAACGTTGAAAGTAATAAATATTCTAGAAGTATTATTATATTCCTGATGATGGTGTGAGAACCATATTGAAACATTGAAAGTAATAAATATTCTAGAAGTATTATTATATTCCTGATGATGGTGTGAGAACCATATTGAAATGTTGAAGTAATAAATATTCTAGAAGTATCATTATATTCCTGATGACAGTGTAAGAATCATATTGAAACGTTGAAAGTAATAAATATTCTAGAAGTATTATTATATTCCTGATGACAGTGTAAGAATCATATTGAAACGTTGAAAGTAATAAATATTCTAGAAGTATCATTATATTCCTGATGACAGTAACAGAACCACATTGAAACATTGAAAGTAATAAATATTCTAGAAGTATTATTATATTCCTGATGATGGTGTGAGAATCATATTGAAACGTTGAAAGTAATAAATATTCTAGAAGTATTATTATATTCCTGATGACAGTGTGAGAATCATATTGAAACATTGAAAGTAATAATATTCTAGAAGTATTATTATATTCCTGATGATGGTGTGAGAACCATATTGAAATGTTGAAGTTATAATATTCTAGAAGTATTATTATAATCCCGATGATGGTGTGAGAATCATATTGAAACATTAAAAGTAATAAATATTCTAGAAGTATTATTATATTCCTGATGATGGTGTGAGAACCACATTGAAACATTGAAGTAATGAATATTCTAGAAGTATTATTATATTCCTGATGATGGTGTGAGAACCATATTGAAATGTTGAAGTAATAAATATTCTAGAAGTATTATTATATTCCTGATGACGGTGTGAGAACCATATTGAAATGTTGAAAGTAATAAATATTCTAGAAGTATCATTATATTCCTGATGACAGTAACAGAACCACATTGAAACATTGAAAGTAATAAATATTCTAGAAGTATTATTATATTCCTGATGACAGTGTAAGAATCATATTGAAATGTGGAAAGTAATAAATATTCTAGAAGTATCATTATATTCCTGATGACAGTAACAGAACCACATTGAAACGTTGAAAATAATAAATATTCTAGAAGTATCATTATATTCCTGATGATGGTGTGAGAACCATATTGAAATGTTGAAGTAATAATATTCTAGAAGTATTTATCCATAAAATTGTCTTATTTATCTATATCTTTTGCTTCTAATATGTCATTGCAAAAAAGTAGGACGTAAAACTCCATTTATTTAATTTCTAAAGTGCCATTGAAAGATTACATTATAAGTGTTCTGATATGATTAAGGCTTATTATAATCTACTGCCAGGGGAACACAGACTTTTTCTGGACTCTTTCTTGAAGAATTATTTTCAAGAATATATCCATGAGCTTGCAAAAACAACCCCGATAAGAAACACCAGTCAAGCGTGATTAGCTGTCACAATTTAGAATAACCTTTCTTAATCTATATTTCAGTATGTAATTACATATATACATATGATAGATATATACCAATCTCACATCTTGATACGAAAATGAATTCGAACCAAGCAGAATGTAATGAACTGTGTAATAACAATACCCAATGTACAGATTTTAGTGTTACTTCTGATAAAGTTTGTAACCTAACTCAAATACCAGTCGTCGCGGTTTTTCTTGAAACAGATCTGAACCAATGTATCGCGAAATGTTCTGAAATGAATGAATGTCTAATGATGAATCATTGGCCAAGCAGTAGATGTTATATATTTAACATTACACAGGACGACCTAGCTGATGGGGATGCTATAACCTTTGATGGTTACACTCTATCAGAAAAACTCTGTTAATAATTGAATCACGACTATTAAGATGTAACTCTAATATAACATGTTTATCATGATATAACTCTATTAAAACTGTAAGCATAAGACAATGGTATTTTATTGCAGTGACGCACCGGCTCCCCGTTTCGGAATTTAGAGGGCTCTGGACTTGGTGTGGGGTCAGGAAGGTGGGGGGTGGGGGGGTTGGCGGTTAAAATTTCTTTTCTAGGAAGGTTGAATTTTGTGATTTTTGGAGTGAAAGTGCCCTTGAGCCATAGAATGTAAATCCCCGCCCTTCCCCCACAGAATTACCACACTGGTTTGATATGGAAAATAACTATTTGTACTCTGGACTTCACGTCTCATAGATGACGAAAAACCGACAATATGGGTCAGGAAAAGTCCGAAAATTTAGCTAATTTCCGAAGATAATTTTCCTCACGCCTTTTCCCTCATCTTAGAGTCCTCGACCTACGATCCTGTTCATTGCCCCTGCTAGTAGCAGATTAACCTAGATATCTCGTGCATATAGTTATTTTATAATATCATTAGAGGTACCGGTCCAGATTATAGAGGTATGCCGTGGCCAAAACTATTAAAGTTGTCGTCAATTCCAATGCTGCAAAGTATCAATGTCGATTCGTAAAAATGCAAGATGTATATTTGAGACTTTGAATTAGAGACATAACAGGAATGCACACTTTCTTCCCATGAAAGCAATAATAAGTCCAAAAATTCGACAATACATGAAATGACAAAAAGGAGCTCTTGCAAATAATCCATGTCTCTTTCATCCCCAATTTCATGCTGTCATTGCCTGGACACAAATCCCATTGACTGGTGCATTAGGCCACTGCTTTGCTTTGTTTGATTTTTAGTGGAAACACGGTTAAGCAAATCGCGTACACTCCAAGTCGAGGTGCCATAAACTGTGCATTGTAACAAGTTAAAGATACCTCAACAGTTATATCGAAAAAAGAGTAGGTTATCGTCCAGGCAATATTGCCTTCATTACAGCCTGCATGACATTTCTATTCATTGAGTACCATGGTTTTCCATCACATTCTATTGTGGATATACATTGACGCCGCCCTGTCTGTCCGTCCGTCCGCCTGCCAGTTCGTCCGTCCACAGTCAACTTTTGAACTCGATAGAATCTACAGTTTTTATCCGATTTTGATATAATTTAATATAACTCAGATGTATTGATTGCACCGTAAGATACTGAGTATTTTTTTTAATTTGCAACAAATGGTTTTCCTATGAAAATTGACTATTTTAACACAAGTAAAAATCGCGTCGTAAGATGTATTCTCCGTGCCTTCCGGTCTTTGCATATTGGAATAGCACTCAAATGCAATGAAATGCTCACTACGCTATTGGACATGAATCTTGTATTCCGATTCTGAAATACTTGAATGAACCATACGGGAAAGGGAAAAAACTGACCTGTAGACATACATATTCAAATTGTAATCTATGAGTCACAGTCCAGATATACGAAATTGAATAAGTAAAATATCCATTTTAATCCATATCCATATCATTTATAATGAAATGAACGACAAAGCAATAAGGAAATAATGTCCGGATATTTTGAAAGATTGCCTGTATTGTTGTATGTGATTGGATCTCATGTGATCTATATTATAGCACGTGCCTGAGTAGATGTAATTGTTTGTGAACTGTATTTTAAGTTGGTTAATAGTCTCAAGCTTGTCAATTCGTCTAATAATGACGTAGTACTCGGTCCTCGTCCCACTATCATTATTAGACTTATTGACAAACTTTCGACCATTAACCTATATATATATATATATGTTCCAATAGTACGTAGGTTTTCAACCACAGGGACATGTCATATTGGACAAATTGGAGAAGATATATCGGGATCTGGTAACCTACAATACAAAACCTAAACATACGTTACAATATACATGTTAATGCATGTCGTAGATTTACGATTTGATAACGCTCGCCTATTTTGTTTACTAACTGTATATATTTATGTTTAATTAGTAGAACTGATGCATAAACATTTCAATAAAAATATAAATCGTACTCTCATTAAAATGAATAACTGTATATATTATATACACAAGGTTTTATGTTGATTATCTCCTTGTTTGTTTGAAATAAAATGACATGACAAATAACATGAAATAAACGCCCCTTGTCGCCATTTTCTTTAATGGCGTGACGTCATGTCGTACATAAACGATAATAAACTGGCGACATTTCAAGTGTGAGGATTGCTCTTCCTCGTGACGAGAATAACACCAATGATCTAGCGTCCTTCATAATATCTCAATTATAAACCTAGAACACTCTTTTAAATGCCACATGTTTTTTTTAAGAATTGCAAGCCTCGAGTGTTTCTGTTATTTATTTTTGTAGATGAAACTACAACAGGCAGTTGGTGCCATCTTAAAACTTGAAAATCTCTTTTAAGTAAGAGTTAAAAACGCATCATTTTGGAAGAACTTTTACCCAATAAGAGCTGTGGGTGTGTGTGTAGATATTGATTAAACTGTAGATATATCTGTGTTTATAAAGCGCCATTGAAAGTTAACGCTGGAGTAGAATTGAGCGCTATACTAAATTCAATAATCTTAAAGGGATTTTTAGTTAGAAATGCCGCCATCTTGTAAGGGGAGATAACAAGTTACTATGTTATTGTGGTCTGGTGGTTACGAATTCTCTTGTGGGAGCTTGTCATTTCCGATTAGCTCTGTCCTGAACCACAGGCATCGGACGAAGAATTTGAATGTCCCAAATAGAAGTCAAAGGTGCCCCCTATACTTGTAAATAACCTCTTTAAAATCCCTTTAATATCTTAATCCTATTTTATTTTTTTTATCAGTTTTCAAGTTGAGGTCGAAGTTGTATTGTTATTGTTATTTTTGTAGTTTTTATGTTTTTTTTCATATTGTTGTTAGAGTTCCTAGCAAAGAAAATTAATACGTAAAACATTTTTGGAATTCCAGACCGCGGAATTACACTTTAATATATTTCCAGACATCAAACCCCAACCGGAAGTGTTGTAGCGGAAAACTTCTAAAATTTGGAAATCTGTTATAAAACGATTATTTTTTGTTCAATTTTCGTATTTTCTTACAATTACTTCCGAAAATCCTGCAGTTTCAGATCTTCAAAATTCGAAAATTGGTCGATGACTTTTTGAACTGAATTTTGGTCATAATTTTACAACTTTTTACGAAACTTGGTAGATAAGTAAAGGCCAAATTATCGATTCTAAATATACAATAAATTTTTCTAAAAAATGTCGGAAAATGGTCGGAAATGACCGAAAAAGTCCGAAAATCTATGTTTTGCAAAAACTTGCCAATTTGTAATTCCGCAAAATTTACACCTTCAATATCTTCTTTTTGCACCTTAGCCGTGTATGAAAATTCCTAACCGTTTAGCTGTCATCTGAAAAATGCAAAAATTCTTAAATTTCATGCAGGCTACAATTCCAATCCGATTGTTCTCAAACTGTTTTAAAATGTAAGAAAATTACCTAGGTCCTCAAAAAGCACTTTGTCTTTACACAATTTCCTGTCAAAGTTTTTTCTAACAGGTCACGTTTCAACCTGTGATAACCTTTCACCATGGGCTTCCACAACCTCTATCTTTCTACTTCAGCATCTCCTTTAACTAGATTATCATTGGTGATCCTGATTTTTGATTTTGGTACATAACCTTTTGATTTATACTACTCTGAAAATGGGTAATTTGGATATTTTCCGTATCTTCGAATGATTATGTAACATGAACTCGGACTTTTTCATCATTTAATTAGATGTTATCGTTATGTACTTTATTTTAGTTGTCAACCTAAATCATTTGGAAATATTCATTATTGATTTGAGATGATTTTTACATTTTACTCTTAATTGAGTTTTAATTCGACCAGAAACATAATGCACTATTTCACAACTTTAAACAAACATATCAAATAAATTAAAGTTAAGAAGATTGTGTAACAGGTCATACAGTCAAATATTGTTAATTTCACACCTTTTTAGGTCAGAGTTGATAACCCAAATCTCACCGTTTGAAATAGTCTATTACAGATATCATTACAGTCGGAAACGTTTCCAAACATTGACAGTCTATTTCCATTTATATGTTAAACATTGGAAATTGCTTTGTGGAATTTTTATCTACACCAGCTACGTATTTGAACGTAAATGAACCATCGAACCATCGAACTATCTAAAATTCATAAAGGTTAATATTCCTTTTAAGTTTTACATAAACTTCAATCTAATTATCTGGCAATTAACGTATTGAAAATGGCGGAGAAAATTCCTTTGTATAAAGTCTTGTCCACACGACTCGCAAAGCCTGGGTCATGTTGGTGAAATTCTTTAATATTTTTTTTTTTTGTTGCTGACAAAAATGATATTAACACAGCCAGACTAAGTCCAAATAAAAAAGACAAAAACAAGTTTACCCACCATCAGGGGCAGTCATTGCACTTTGACAGAATGCAACGAAAATTTACTTCGTGTAGACCGGGCTCTTGAATGTAAAAAAGACACACACTGCTATGGATTGTCAGTTTTTAAGATAACATCTGTTCATTAGGATGCTTAAAATTAAGTATAAATATCTGAATCAAATCTTGCATTCAACAATTTAATAGTGTCTCCAAACGTTTCCACAAGTCTTGTCAAGTCAACTATTAATAGCTATGAATAATCTTTTATGTTCCGTATTGTTATTAGCTGTAACAACACTGATTCTTATTGATGCCGGTAAATATTGATACTTATTACATGTCATTAATGAACGTCTACACAACTTATTACGTTATGATTGTATAATCTATGATTTGATATTTTCTTTTCTTTATTGAATAAGAACTGACAGTTGTTCTAAGGCCTTTGTGGTTCATTTGAATAAAAAATATTAGCTATGTGACTCTCTGTTTTAATTCAATAAAGTTTTTGAATTGTTTAATGAACTGTGAAAATCAAACTTCCTTCATGTCATTAATGAACGTCTACACAACAGTACCGTCTCGGGTCATTGGTTCATTTAAAAATATCATTATAAAGGCGTTTTAGTTTAGATCTTGTTATATCACTCTACTGCGTCTGCAAGAAATTTCTTCATATTGTTTTTTAATTCTTGTTCCTTTATTTCTTTAAACCATGTTGTTTCACAAAATCAAATGCTGTAAAAAGTTCTTAAGAGTGTTATATGCGATCAATTAAAAGTTATAAATGAGCAATCAAGTGCTATACAAGACCAATTATCGACAATATTTAGAATGATAAATATCAAAATGATTATTTCAGATTGCTCAACTTATCCTGCAGTTAAAAATGCATATTTGAACAAAGACGACCAATGTGATGATACTTCAATTACGTGTAGAAGATTTTTCAAAATGAAACAAATGGCAAAATGTGAAGATGGAGAGTGGCAATATCAAGAACCAGTGTGTGAACCTCTAGGTATGATAGTTAAAATTTCTTCTAAAATTTGTGGCATAAGGTATCGTGTTTTAATTATGGTATAAATACAATTAAATAACCTGCTGTGTCTAAATATTACAATTCATTCTTTGTCCCTGAAAACTAGGTTTGTTGGTAGATGACAAGTTAACGTTCGCTTCCAGCTAACTGATGTCAAAGAATAGGTAGTTGTTGGTAGATGACGAGTTAGCGTGAACTTCCAGCTAACTGATACCACAGACTAGGTAGTTGTTGGTAGATGACAAGTTAGCGTGAACTTCCAGCTAACTGATACCACAGAGTAGGTAGATGTTGGTAGATGACAAGTTAGCGTCAACTTCCAGCTAACTGATACCACAGACTAGGTAGTTGTTGGTAGATGACAAGTTAGCGTCAACTTCCAGCTAACTGATACCACAGACTAGGTAGTTGTTGGTAGATGACAAGTTAGCGTCAACTTCCAGCTAACTGATACCACAGACTAGGTAGTTGTTGGTAGATGACAAGTTAGCGTCAACTTCCAGCTAACTGATACCACAGACTAGGTAGTTGTTGGTAGATGACAAGTTAGCGTCAACTTCCAGCTAACTGATACCACAGACTAGGTAGATGACAAGTTAGTGTCCACATCCAGCTACCTGATATCACAGACTAGGTTGTTGTTAGTAGGTGACAAGTTAACGTTCGCTTCCGGTGGATGCTGATATCACAGACTAGCTAGTTGTTGGTAGATGTCCAGTTAACGCCCGCTTCCAGCTAACTGATATCACAGACTAAGCCTTTGTTAGTAGTATGGTTCAAATGGGAAGATTCTTTGCTGGTGGTTTGGTAGTTGATAAATCTGAGATCTAGCCGGGTCGTTGTGATCGTGGTAATTATTGAGAGTTCGGTACTATTTTCATATTTTTGATCTTTAAACGACTCCATATGGTTGTAATAACTTTGTTTAAACGTGATTTCAGTCAGTCCCATAAGTTTTACGTTCATTAGCCTCAGTGTTTGTGACGTCTGCCTTGTATATTATAAGTTTGACTTTTGTTCCTAAAGTGACACGGTTTAGATACCTGGTTCCCAAAATGGAGTGTTTTCACCCACAGGGGTGTGGGACTAGGGTGTCAGGGGTGTGGCCAACTGGTGTAGGAGAAGAATTTATTTGGAATATTCACATGCTGCAATTTCTCCAGAGGAGTGAAATCTGAAAAAGATTGGGACCCACTTCTTGTAAGAATTATTACAGTGTATAAGATTGACTATATTAAGATGGTGCCGACAGCCAACTAGTAGGTCTATATCAAAACTGCAAATACATATCGAATAATTGGAGCCTTTTCTGTAGTCAGAATACTTAAATTTGGAGAAAAGCAAAATATCGATTAATTTTGTTGACTTTGATAAAAATTAAGCTTCATATCATAAAATACCTGTTTTGATTATTCTAAGACTAGAATTAATCTCATTTGTACATGTATTACATTAACTAAATTCAGGGCACGAAGGTTTTTACCATGATAACAACCAAAGGACAATATGTCCAATAGCTACCAACCCTGATTAACTGTAAATATATTGAACTATACCTTGCCTTTACCACCCCTGATTAGTTGTAACCATGTTGAATAACACCTTGCCTTAAAGAAATTTCTTTATTCGTATTTCAGAATGTGATTATGTATACGTGTATACAGAGAAAACATATGTAAAAAATATAATCATAGAAGTTAAAAAAAGAACTAAACAAGAATGCAACGAACGCTGCAATAACAATACCCAATGTACCAGTTCTATACTAGATAGTGATGGAGAGTGTTTTCTATATAAAAAACCAATCGTCGCCACTTTTTATAATGTAGATCAAAGCTATTGTATCACGAAATGTTCAGAGATGAATGAATGTCTACTGTTGAATTATATTAGTCCCAGTAAAGTATGTTATTTGTACAACGTAACTCGGGACGACCTAACTGATATGGATATTTCAAATTACGATGGATATATCATGGCAGAAAAATTCTGTCAATAATTATAACATGTTTACTCTATTATATCATGTTCATCATGATATAACTCTATTATAACATGTTTATCATGATATAACTCTATTATAACATGTTTATCATGATATAACTCTATTATAACATGTTAATCATGATATAACTCTATTATAACATGTTTATCATGATATAACTCTATTATAACATGTTTATCATGATATAACTCTATTATAACATGTTTATCATGATATAACTCTATTATAACATGTTTATCATGATATAACTCTATTGTAACATGTTTATCATGATATAACTCTATTATAACATGTTTATCATGATATAACTCTATTATAACATGTTTATCATTATATAACTCTATTATAACATGTTTATCATGATATAACTCTATTATAACATGCTTATCATGATATAACTCTATCATAACATGTTTATCATGATATAACTCTATTATAACATGTTTATCATGATATAACTCTATTATAACATGTTTATCATGATATAACTGTATTGTAACATGTTTATCATGATATAACTGTATTGTAACATGTTTATCATGATATAACTCTATTATAACATGTTTATCATGATATAACTCTATTATAACATGTTCATCATGATATAACTCTATTATAACATGTTTATCATGATATAACTCTATTATAACATGTTTATCATGATTTAACTCTATTATAACATGTCTATCATAATATAACTCTATTATAACATGTTTATCATTATATAACTCTATTATAACATGTTTATCATGATATAACTCTATTATAACATGTTAATCATGATATAACTCTATTATAACATGTTTGTCATGATATAACTCTATTATAACATGTTAATCATGATATAACTCTATTATAACATGTAAATCATGATATAACTCTAATATAACATGTTTATCATGATATAACTCTATTATAACATGTTTATCATGATATAACTCTATTATAACATGTCTATCATAATATAACTCTATTATAACATGTTTATCATGATATAACTCTATTATAACATGTTTATCATGATATAACTCTAAAATAACATGTTTATCGTGATATAACTCTATTATAACATGTTTATCATGATATAACTTTATTAAAACTGTAAGCATAATTTAAATGTTATTTTTATTGCATGATGGTTTGTTGTTGAAACGACAATTTCATCCCCCCGTCCCCCCTTAACTTTTGGCGTCATATTTGTGCCTCCCTAACATTTGACTGACTGTTATTTTTGGGGCCATTTCGGTTAAGTGCCAATATGATTATAATAACTGCATTAGTCTTAATTATATGAGAGCGAAGCTCTCTATAATGGTAACACATACATATACATCAATTCGTTTCAGAAAATTTATGCCCCACGGGTAGTCAAAAAAAAGTGAGAAAAAAGATGGCGGATCATGGGGGCCGCCATGTTTGTTGACAACTAGATCGCAGTCAATCGGGGTAGTTTCGGGGTGAATAATCTGGAATTCTTTCAATAAATTAAGACAATTGTTTCAAGCACAGAAAGGGATGTTTTGTACCAACTTAACAACCCTTAAGTTTTATTTTTCCTGGATATTCTATGCGTCATAAGGAATAAAATGACAGCTTTGACCTAATTTCCCAAGACTTTCTCCCAAGCAATGATGGCGGCTTTGTTGACATCATACGTCACGTTAAAATGACGTTATAGATGAATTACTTTAACACCTTATAGAAATTTCTCTAGATACCTTATAAAAGACTGTCTACAGACCTTATATTCATAGAAGATTACCTTCACACATATAATCAGAAGACAAAGTAGTTTGCATTACATACAGATCAAATTGAATTTATTTTACTTAATTATTATTTTATTTTTATCAAATAACCTGCGCTCTTATTCAAGGCCATGCCTTCATTCATATTAGTGGCTTATTTACGTGTCATACACAAAATACAAATTTATACAGTTAGAATACACAAAATAAAAATTAAAATATTGCATTAAATCTCTCTGTGTCTTTCGTTTCATAATCATATTAATTGCGATATTATTCAGGTGACATTTTATGTATTTGAGTACATTTAGGTATTAAGGATATCCCAACCATTACAGGGGGGGTAACTCTCATTGGTGTGTGAATAAAGATGGCCAACCTTCGAAATGTAGGTCGCCAAGGTTTCTGTATATTTCGCTGTATCAAAGAGAATCGAACGACAAGATTTACAAGGTAAAGACATATTAGATATTACTACGTGTAGGAGTAAAATCATGGAGACTGATTGGAGTAGTATGTTCGGCATTTATCTCTATTTTAGTTTGACAGTTTTGACCTAGTTTTCTACTTTCGATTTATGAATTATGTAAAGGTGAAAACGGAGAAAGAAAAGTTCGATGACCAGTCAGTAACCTACTTCTATATAGAAATGGATGAATGAAACTTATCAAATACGCACTTCTCTCCAAATACTAGCTGTAGATTTTAAATTACACTCTCACTACCATACATTGAGCTTTATTTGAATCGAATTTTTCCTCTCATTTCATAATTATTCAAATAAAATTTCAACTGTATCATACAGTGTATGCCATTGGTCTCAGAATGTCTTTAAGACCATAGAAATTTAAGGTTCAGTGATTTTACATTTAAAATAGACACACTTCCCTCCCAGAAAATTCATGTAAAAATGACCTACTTTTTGATCAGAAAATTCCCCTCTGTAAAATCATGTTTATAAATAATATATTTTCCAGTGGTTGACATTTTCATCAACCCAAAAATAATGTAAGACTCAGTAGTATTGAAATTGTTTGCCAAATTTCAATTCAGAAAACAGTGTAGTCACGAGAGAAGAAAAAACTCTTGTTCCGTTTTTAAATTTCAAGTATGGCAACCACTTTAGTTTGGGTAAACTGTTTTGTCAGATTACTAACAAAATATATCCAAACAGCGTAAAGCCCTTCAAATAATTAGCTTTAACATACAGACCTAAAAATTAAATTCAATCCCGCCACCCCCCTGTCATTCAGTCTGCACCATCAGTATTTTTTAGTCCTGAATTAACATGATAATTTATTGCAGATTGTCGTGTATATACAGTGATATACCGTCTTTGATAGATACCAACTATCACCAACATGTTCACAATGTACAGAATAGAAGTTTTCTACGTCTACCAAAAATTCTACCTCAAGTACCCTCAACCAGTAAACGTAAAGAATATTCAGAACGTCGAATATTAGGGTGTGTATGAATTATTACCTTATTATCTCTCCTGCCTTCAATCCTTTTCTGCTCTAGTCAGACATGACTGGTAAATACAGTGAAATCAACAGTCTAGAGCTCTAGTCAGACTGGTAAATGCAACCAAATCAACATTCCAAAACTTTAGTCAGACTTGTAAAGATAGTGAAATCAACAGTCTAGAGCTCTAGTCAGACATGACTGGTTAATACAGTCAAATCAACAGTCTAGAGCTCTAGCCAGACATGACTGGTAAATACAGTAAGATCAACAGTCTAGAGCTCTAGTCAGACATGACTGGTAAATACAGTGAAATCAATAGTCTAGAGCTCTAGTCAGACTGGTAAATGCAACCAAATCAACATTCCAAAACTTTAGTCAGACTTGTAAATATAGTGAAATCGACAGTGTAGAGCTCTAGTCAGACATGACTGGTAAATACAGTTAAATCAACAGCCTAGAGCTCTAGTCAGACATGACTGGTAAATACAGTTAAATCAACAGCCCAGAGCTTTAGTCAGACATGACTGGTAAATACAGTTAGATAAACAGTCTAGAGCTCTAGTCAGACATGACTGGTAAATACAGTCAAATCAACAGTCTAGAGCTCTATTCAGACATGACTGGTAAATACAGTCAAATCAACAGTTTAGAGCTCTAGTCAGACAGTTTAGAGCTCTAGTCAGACATGACTGGTAAATACAGTCAAATCAACAGTCTAGAGCTCTAGTCAGACATGACTAGTAGATACAGTCAAATCATCAGTCGAGCTCTAGTCAGACATGACTGGTAAATACAGTCAAATCAACAGTCTAGAGCTTTAGTCAGACATGACTGGTAAATACAGCCAAATCAACAGTCTAGAGCTTTAGTCTGACATGACTGGTAAATACAGTCTAGAGCTTTAGTCAGACATGACTGGTAAATACAGTCTAGAGCTTTAGTCAGACATGACTGGTATATACAATCAAATCAACAGTCTAGAGCTTTAGTCTGACATGACTGGTAAATACAGTCTAGAGCTTTAGTCAGACATGACTGGTAAATACAGTGAAATCAACAGTCTAGAGCTCTAGTCAGACTGGTAAATGCAACCAAATCAACATTCCAAAACTTTAGTCAGACTTGTAAATATAGTGAAATCAACAGTGTAGAGCTCTAGTCAGACATGACTGGTAAATACAGTTAAATCAACAGCCTAGAGCTCTAGTCAGACATGACTGGTAAATACAGTTAAATTAACAGTCTAGAGCTCTAGTCAGACATGACTGGTAAATACAGTCAAATCAACAGTCTAGAGCTCTAGTCAGGCATGACTGGTAAATACAGTCAAATCAACAGTCTAGAGCTCTAGTCAGACATGACTGGTAAATACAGTTAAATCAACAGTCTAGAGCTTTAGTCTGACAGTGTCTGTCAGGAATGACTGGTAACTACAGCCAAATAAATAGTCTAGCTAGTCAGGCATGACTGGTAAATAGGGTCAAATCAGCATCCCTCTCTCTATCTGATGTTTGTTTAATATGTATTTCAGATATTCAATGGATCAGATGTATGAAATAGTGGCTGATGTAGAGAAATATCCTGAGTTTGTCCCATGGTGCACCAGATCCACTGTTACTCACAGACGACCTGGTCATTGTAAAGCTAAATTAGAAATAGGTTTTCCTCCACTTGTAGAACGATATACCTCAGCTATCACATTAGCTAAACCCAATCTAGTTAGGGTAAGATCATCTTCATAATATCAAGCTATTACAAACTACATCTTTACAATGTCAAGCTATTACAAACTACATCTTTACAATGTCAAGCTATTACAAACTACATCTTCACAATGTGAAGCTATTACTAACTACATCTTCACAATGTCAAGCCATTACAAACTACATCTTCACAATGTCAAGCTATTACTAACTACATCTTCACAATGTCAAGCTGTTACAAACTACATCTTCACAATGTCAAGCTATTACTAACTACATCTTCACAATGTCAAGCTGTTACAAACTACATCTTCACAATGTCAAGCTATTACAAACTACATCTTTACAATGTCAAGCTATTACAAACTATATCTTCACAATGTCAAGCTATTACAAACTTCATCTTCACAATGTCAAACTATTGCTAACCTTCATAATACACCTTGACATCATTAAATATTTTTCTTGTGTCTCAAAAATTTGATTGAGTGTCTAAAATACCATTGGGACTGGTTGAATTAAGTCCACTGTTAATGTCGTTAGGGCTGGGTTAAGTAATCAACATAATTGATAATTGATTATATGTCAGAGTTACATTGTCTTGACTGTACCTGTTTCTCAATTAAAATATAATGTGTCCATTATATAATTCTGATTGGTTGCCAAACATTAATATGTCATATGACATCATATATCATCATCCTACAGGTAACAAGTACAGCATCAATCTCAATTTGGTAATGGATACCCAGCCCTATGCTGTTACAGCAGTTAATTTTTATTTTTCAGTCTGAGTGTACAGAAGGTAAAATATTTAACCATTTATTCACAGAATGGAAGTTTAGTCCAGGCATGCACGATAATCCTAAAACTTGTACCTTAGATTTCTCAGTAAGTTTATATTAGTAATTTGTATTTATTGATAGTGAACAGAGTTAGTGACACAGAGAATTTGACAGCACATCAACCAGGATATATTGGGTTCAAGTCTAGCAAGGGCTTAAATATGAGTTTCTTTATATATTTGTGTCAAATTAAGCAAACTATTTGATTAATTGGTGTTTCTAATGAATTATCATGTGCCGGTATTCTTAATCATATCATTATGTTCTTATTGCATATAATTAAGAGTTTTAACCAATCATAAATGTACATGTATGTACAGTCTGGATAAACAAAAAAGACTTTTTGACCTTTCTTGATCGGTCACTCAAAGGAATTTTTAGGGTAATTCTCTTATAATTTAGCTAATTATGAATTAATTATGGACATGTGAGACAAACTGGTATTTTTCCAAGTCCTTAGAACACCTCTACTTTCTATTCATATAAGTATTATCATTTTCATTTTCATTAATGAAAATAAGGGAACCCATCTTTAATTTGATCTTATCAGTGGTGGTGGTACAATGTTTTTAAATGCATCTAAAGGATTTATATTATAACAATAGGAGGTCTTGTGAACATGAAACTACGTATGGTTCTTACATGGAAATAACACCATTGTGAATCTCTAACTCAACTTAATAAGTCGAATTTTTAAAAGGACTATAATATTTGAAAAATGCCTTCAAATTACATTTCTAAACCTTTAATTGTGATTTGAAGGCATTGTTGAAATATTATAGCCTCTTAAAAATTTGATGAATTAACTCGAGGCTAACTTGAATCTCTCCCAACCCAACACTTCTCAACACTCTATATACTATATCTCTCTACTGACCACATACACTCACTGCTTATGTCCAAATTAGGCTGACCGGCGGAGAGTATATATCAAGTAACTAATCTGATATTAATAGTTATTAATGCTGACCGGATCAGGTGTTATTTCCTTGAAAGAACCATACATAGTTTCTTATGATCTTGTGTAGTTTGTACTGTAACATTAAAGATCCCCCGACAGTTGGAAATCGATAATGAGCAGGCTAATACCGCTGTCCTGGTAAACTTTCCCTCATTGAACACTGCGAGGCATTGCCCGTCTTCAGTATCCCAATTCCGTGCATTGAAGTAAGAAATAAAACATTGTTTTATTCGTTGCAATATTTTTCAGGTCAGTTTTGAATTTCGTTCAGTGCTCCATTCGCGACTGGCTCATTTGTTTTTTGATGAAGTTGTTAAAACTATGGTGAATTCCTTTTTGAAACGAGCCCAAGGTTTACACGGACCAGAGTCAATCGCCAGACAGAAAGTAAAAGTTCTAGCCTACAATTCTTGATGAAGAGTGAAACATTTTAATTTCAATTTCTTTGTTTTTATTGTCAGGCGTAAAATTGTATGATTTTAATGTGGATGTTGATTTGACTGTATTTACCAGTCATGTCTAACGAGAGCTCTAGACTGTTAATTTGACTGTATTTACCAGTCATGTCTGACTAGTGCTCTAGACTGTTGATTTGACTGTATTTACCAGCCATGTATGACTAGAGCTATAGACTGTTGATTTGGCTGTATTTACCAGTCATGTCTGACTAGAGCTATAGACTGTTGATTTGGCTGTATTTACCAGTCATGTCTGACTAGAGTTCTAGACTGTTGATTTGACTGTATTTACCAGTCATGTCTGACTAGAGCTATAGACTGTTGATTTGGCTGTATTTACCAGTCATGTCTGACTAGAGCTCTAGACTGTTGATTTGACTGTATTTACCAGTCATGTCTGACTAGAGCTCTAGACTGTTGATTTGACTGTATTTACCAGTCATGTATGACTAGAGCTCTAAACTGTTGATTTGGCTGTATTTACCAGTCATGTATGACTAGAGCTCTAGACTGTTGATTTGACTGTATTTACCAGCCATGTATGACTAGAGCTCTAGACTGTTGATTTGACTGTATTTACCAGTCATGTCTGACTAGAGCTCTAGACTGTTGATTTGACTGTATTTACCAGCCATGTATGACTAGAGCTCTAGACTGTTGATTTGACTGTATTTACCAGTCATGTATGACTAGAGCTCTAGACCGTTGATTTGACTGTATGTCTGACTGTTTATTGTTATTGTCTAGATATAATTTTGTTCTTTTTCAACCAAAAATTAGAGTTGAAGTAGTGTGGCTGTAAAAATTTGTTAACAACATCCCTGTGTAATTGTTTAATGAACAAGACTGTGATCTAATGGAGTGTGAATGATAATTTTTAATTTAAAATGTCTTTAAATTGTTGTATTGAATTTTGAGTGATTGTCTTTCGTTTTCAATTACCATTTTTATTATTTGGATCAAGTGATTAGTTATTTAGCTTTAGGCTCATCTTTAAAATGCTGTTTTATTTCATATAACAATTGTTATCCAATGTGATTTTTGATGAAGTCCAGTTATTTATTAAATTTTGTATCTAAAACCAAACAATTTAACCTGTATTTAACTGAAAAACTTTCCATCATTAATTCCCCTTACCACACTTTACTTTAAACAAACGTTCTCACTCTCTCAAAGTGTAGACATGACATGTTGTACTTGTCCAATTTAAGTAAAGAAGCAGGCGGAAAAAAGGTCAGTTGTCTGAAGATCACATAGCATGAAACTCTGAGTGTTTTTTTAGGTACTATTTTAATATTTCTAGTTTCGTATCTATGAGTCTTTGATTATATGTTACAGTGAAATAAATATTATTATTATCAAACACAAGTGTCAGTATATATATATATATATCAGTATCTTCTGAAGGGTCATGAAGGCTATTTCCACTGTCCTGGCAAAATTTCCCTCATTGCAAACAGCATGGTGTTTCCTGTCTTCATAAGCTCATTTGGTGTATGTAGAGTTATTGGTATATTTGGATTCCTGGCAACATCAGCTACATTTTGATACCAATTCCATCTCAATAGCTTTCTCCGTTCAGAAGATATAGTCAATTTAATATCCAGTTCTGATACTTCACTGCCAGTGCAACTTAATACCTGATCCCATGTAGGGGGTAACATATCTGAACGGTTATGAGCCAATCCCACTATCAAACTCTTTAGGTAGCAGACCGGTATTACCAGTGGAAATCAGTGAATGGTTAATTTTCTTTTTTAGGGGTTGGGTCCAGCTGCACATTTCCTTAAATTTCGGTTAAATGTCGATTAGTAGGCTTTTAGGCCACGGTTCACCACCTAAAGAAGTCAATCGAATCTCCCCCCCCCCCCCACACCCCCTCTTAGAACCCTATTCTACTGTTCTGTATCTTATTTGACTAATGAAATGAAATTGAGTTTTATATCCTACTGTTCTGTATCTTATTGGACTAATGAAATGAAACAGAGTTTTATATCCTACTGTTCTGTATCTTATTGGACTAATGAAATAAAATAGAGTTTTATATCCTACTGTTCTGAGTCTTATTGTACTAATGAAATGAAATAGAGTTTTATATCCTACTGTTCTGTATCTTATTGGTCTAATGAAATGAAATGGAGTTTTATATCCTACATTTCTGTGTATCTTATAAGGCTGATGTAATTGAACGAATGAAAAAAAAATATTCGCTTCTTTTGAGCTAAAGCAATATTTAAATTGAAAAACCAATTTATTTCATTTGTTTTTATTTGGGAAAGGCGCAGTTGGGGTTTTTCAAACAGTTGGCCCAATAGGCTTGTTGTTTTTTAACATAGTTTTCATCATGACAAGTGGATGGCAGACAGCACATGCCGGTCATTGGACGATAACACTTCAATCCTAGAAATACAATATATTTTAATATAAACTATTTATTTCTAGATCTTCTTCAAACAGGGATGGCACACAACGGATTTCTATTACAGTTAGCCCAAAAGGCTTGTTGTTGTTTCACGTAGGCTTCGTCATGGCAAGTCCTTGGCAATTGGATGCCTGCCATAGGCTGGTAACATTGTAGGCCTAAAATTAAATAGCCCTCGATAGAATTGTGTATTTTATTCAGTCTAATTAAAATTAGACCAAACTTTCGTTTAGGTTTTTTTTCCTAGCTTTTATTTTTCATTATCCACTTCAGTAAGACTTTGTTCGCGTCACAAAATCCCTGAGTTGGAAAGGGCAGACATTTGGTTGCCTAGCCATGTCTTTAGACTCCAACTGAAGTGACTAATTTAAAAGCTAATAAAAAAACAGAATGAAAGTCAGCTCTAATCAGTAGCTTACAGTGAACCCAATAGACTGAATGTTCCCAAAAACCTTGCCGTGGCATGGGGATACTGGGTCGATAACATTTTAAATCTATAATACCATAAATTTAATATTTAACGTGGAAAATGACATTTTGGATTTTGACGACAAGCGGTCCAGTAGGCTTGTCGTTCTTTCACGTAGGCTTCGTCGTGGCAGGTGCGTGGCAAGGGTATACCTGCCATGGGCCGATAACATGTTAAACCTAAAAATAAAGCTCGAATTTAATATTTAATGTGGAAAATGGCATTTCGGATTTTGATGACAAGTTGCCCAGTAGGCCTGTCGTTCTTTCACGTAGGCTTCGTCGTGGCAGGTGCGTGGCAAGGGTATACCTGCCACGGGACGATAACAAGTTAAACCTAAAAATAAAGCTCGGATTTAAAATTTAATGTGGAAAATGGCATTTCGGATTTTGATGACAAGTTGCCCAGTAGGCTTGTCGTTCTTTTACGTAGGCTTCGTCGTGGCAGGTGCGTGGTAAGCAACATCTACCCGACATTGGTCGATAACATGTTAAACCTGAAATTATACTGGCATTTGAACGAGTTTGTTGACGCTTCGTAAAACAAAATGAAAAAGAAATAGATTAAACTTAAAGGGATTGTAAAGAGGTTTTCTAAACTTTCGTATCTATCAGTGACATTGATAGCATTTGCACCCTTCCAATTTTCAGTCTGTTATTCTGTTATTGTTTAGAAAAAACTTACCGGTATCACAGTCGCAGGCTGAATCACAAAGTTCCCCTTTCTGAGCTTTACCAACAGTACAGGTTCCTTTCTGACCTCCTAACATATGGATAAAGCCTGCAATAAAATATAATTTTACAGTGTTACAAGATGTAAACGAGAATAATTGTTTTGTTTTACCAGCTGATTGAGCTTATAGAGAATAATGGCTACAAGATATAATTTTGAGGTTTATATAAGCTATATTTCTCATTTAAATCAGACTTCTGGATCTCCGGCAATTCTTTGTTAAGCAATTATGTGGACAACCACCTCGAAAAAGACACAACGTTGAATGTTCACAACATCTTCCATTTGCGAATACAACAGAGTAACAGGCCTGTTCATGACGTGAAAGCTAGCCCAGGTTACACCCTTAAATAACAATTGTCCTTACCCCCAATTTGGGTGGAAATAACTCTCTGTCTTTCATCTCGACAACAAGAACCTTTACCACAATCATATGATGTTTTACCAGGTGGACACAGTCGATGCTGACTAAAAGGGAGAAATG